CTTAAATCGCATTTCGATAAAATTAAGGCCAATATAAATTATCACATTTTAAAATAAAGTAATTAAAATTTCTGATGGTAAACGTACTTAAATATAAAATTCGTGAAAATGTGTCACAAATATATTATTACTCAAATCTAATAGGTATGTTGATAATCAGTAGTAAACAGGATATGGCCGATCCATCTGAAGCAGTTCCAATAAATATTTCATTTTCGTCAGCGTCAGTGTTTGAAGAGCCAGCTACGGATATCCTCGTTATAAGAGGGATATGTGTATGAGTTATTGCTTATGTTCCAATTTGTTAACTTAAAGCTTATTACACAATCTTTACTTATTTTTATGTTATGCCTCAAGTAAAAAGTGAAATAAAATTTAACCCATTTTTCATTTCAATTGATGCTCAATATCTAAAATCAGACGTTATCGCTAATGGTTCATCATTTATTCAATTCGGTCACAGACTATATTAACCATTTGATTTTCCACCGTTTTAAAAATATTTTTTAGTAATTCACGGCCATTTGTTGAATTGCTTTAACTAAAGTTCTTTAGAAACTAATTTAACAATGTTGTAAGAGCAAAGATAAACGGAACAAATATTATTAGATTAAGTTTATTGGAGCCTTCAAACTTCAAAAGGAGTTTGTTGTCGGCCTACCTCCATGCTCGTTAACATGTTGTGCGCATTTCATTAATTAGCGTGATGAGCTAGCTAGACGAACTACGAGAAAACGGACTTGGCTGTTTAATTAAGAAATTCAGTGTAGGTTGATTCATGTCAGATAAAATTTTTTTTTCACAGACTCAACTAAGAATTTAGGTTGGGTTGATCAAATTCCTTAATTTTTTTGAAGGAAACGTTCGTCTGCATTTTAATTGGCTTTATTGTGTTTAAATTAAAAGTCGACTCCTTATTCCGAATTCTATGGCATATCGTAGATTCATCAAACATAGACCGATGTGAATTTTAGTTATATTTGTAAAGAGTACATATTCTCATAATATACATTCTTTCTCCTAATACATACGTATACAGCAGAGTCCAAAGAGCAGTGAAACACCACCCAATTTTAGCTAAAAATATGTGTAGAGGCGGAAAATTGTTAAAAAATTAATATATGCAATATGCCATTAGTCGTCTCTTACGACAAGCTGCGCAAGTAAGATTCTTGATTCATTATTTTTTTCGCACATCAACATATGACTTAATTTTACCATTAATCTACATTAATACATTGTGATTGAATATAACGATGAATCGTTTTTATCGATATAATACAATCTATTAAATCAATAAAGACAATCGCAGTGTGCCAATAAAATTGAAACATGACAGGACAAGGATTTAGTCATAAAGAAATGTGTATTTATTGAATGAGTTATATCCGCATGATTTTTTTCTTCTATAACTGTTTAATGATAAATAATGGGCCAATAAAAGAAAAAACGGGAGACGTTTTAAAAAAAAGCATAATTTAACATCATCGTTTTATTCTTGGACTTAGACGGATGAGTATTGGAAGAAAATGATCACTTCTCAGCTTCTCAAAATAAAAGTCGTGGCGGCGATGAGATAGAGTATTTTTTTTCACGTAACACAATCCGTCCGTAAGTGGATACGTTCGTACAGCCTCGTTTCGCGCCGCTGCTGTCAAACGCTACACGTATGATGTATTGCACACATAGGCTGAAGTTGAGTCTGTGTGTAGGCAGGGATCGGGTTACACTGGTTAATGGCTGCCCGTCTATTATACGTCCCTAAAATATTATATTCAAGTAAATAGACTTATGTACTTTAATTTCACAAATCACAAATAATAAAAGACTATGTCCAGGTTTCGATCAGTGGAGTTTAAAGCTGATGGTAAACATAATATATACACTTACGCCTGTCACCTAAAGATGTAGGCAGAAACTAAGGTCTTTCATTTGGCACGATCCTGATACACCTTTTACGCCTCCTTCCGATTCATATACCTACGAATACTTGCACGTCGGTTAAGGGTATTCTAACGGCGCCTCTACACGTTGGCCACAGCCGACATATTGCAACGTTTACTCGCCGAGCACAGACTAGTCGGCAAGAGTAAGAGCACGTAAACGCCTTGTTCGGGTGTTCTCGCTACTCGGCCCCAATATTCGCCTGCGGGTTCTACACTCGATATCGGTTTTTTGGCACGAGTAAAAGTAATGCTATATTGATGTCTACATACTCGTCATTATTTGCTTCATCGTTTGACCCGTGAACTTTTAAACTTTATTATTCTTTAAAATAATTTAAGAAACAATAAAAATACCCACCTATTGTGACGGATTGCAGTAACGATTTTTGTGGAAAAGGGTCCTAGAAATCGGTTTTTAATAAACATTTTTTAAATTAGTATTTGATCATCATCACCATCGTTACAGCCCTTCACAAGTCCACAGCTGAACATAGGCATCCCCCAAGGAATACGACAAAGCATGGTTCCGAGCACAAACTAACAAGAGTACTAAGTTCCGAGCTTCCGAGCCATCTGCACCCGTCAACTTCCTGTATAAGCTGGTAAGTTTTTGTTCCATCTAGTTGGGGGGGGGGGGGCGGTCTACACCCTTCAAATACGTATTTGTGAGTATATAAATATCAAGCAGGAAAAGTTGTGGTAACGAAACGCACGTCATCCATGTTTAAAAGATCTACGTTGAATGTGTACAGACAAATATATAAACGCGTTGTGCCAGTTGTTGCCAGCCCAGTGCCGATAATGTAAACGTGCCATTAAGTTGGTGCATCTTGAATATATCGCTAATTTAGTCAATAAACTTCTGTCCAGGGCTTCCCTTGCCGACTCCACCATTCACTTCTGAAACATACGTTTTCTTTTCATGCCTTCCTCATTTATTCTTTTTACATGACTAAGCAATGGAAGCATTTTGCATTCCTTTCTTAATCTTGATCGCGACATTTTCAAGCAAACTAATCTTTCCTCTAACCACACATTTCTCACCCAGTCGTTCAGAGCCCAGAGCCCACCCTTAAGATACTTTTTATGACCGCATTTCTTTCTACAGCATTAATTCTAATCTCGTGCTCTTTTGCCACCCCCAGTTTTCACTGAAATACATTAATGTAAGGACAGACACAGCACTGTGAATTGCCATACGTGCTTCTTTGACACATTCTGATTTCCCACAAAAGACTGAAAAGCCATGTTTACTATGCTCTGCATTCACATTGATGGTAAATGTATAACAACTGTTACAGGTAGATCTGCAACAATAGGTTCAATTAAAATAAGAAAAATGGTTAAAACACGGGCTAAAAACGACATGATTGCTATAAACTCAAAAATATAAGATAGGAAGATAGACAGGGCAATAAAACGATATACGATAAAAATACAGCAATTGTTATTAGTAAAACTAAAAGTATTAGTCCTCATGGCCTTTAAGTACATGTGGGTATCCATGTTGTATTTTTGATTCACTACTGAGAGAGCCGATATTATACAGAATGACCTTTTTACCGTCTGGAAAAAATAGGGTGTAACATGTGAACGGAGTAGAAGCCAATAAATAGTATTGATATTTTACAAAAAATAAAAACAAACATTTTAAATTAAATTATTTAATTAATTAATTAAAATCTATCGCAATTAAAATCATATCCACCCTAGCCTGTGACCCTGCGAAGTGACAAGGTCAAACATGCCTACTAAATTTACTGTTATATTGCTGTTCGTAAAGTAGGGTGGATATGATTTGAATTTCGATAGATTTTAATTAATTAATTTATTATAATAATGTATAATATATTTTAGTAGTCTATGGGACTTTAAGATTACTACGGACAATGCACCTGTAGTCTTTTGTGATGCAAATGCAAATTTCCATTGGCCGGTCAGTAGTCCATATCACTTAGAGCTGGACTGTTCGCTCGTTTGCCACTTTAGTTGTAGAGAGTTATAGTTTGTATTTACTCAGATCATCTGTTTTATGTTAAAATTTTAAACTATATCCAATGTACATTCATTGTGCCCCTCGACGCGACTTCTCGCACGTTTCATCTATATAGGACTAGAGTTACGTAGTACATATTATTCATTCTATACGGTAGACGGTCGATGCAGCTCTCACACTGTCGATAACTACCATAATCATTATTTATTGATATCGCTATCCTCCGTACCAGTATTTGTTTTTTTTTTTCTCTGCAGTTATTTTTCAATTTATTTTCGATAAAATTAAAAATATCTTTATGAATCTGTACGAGTACGTCAATAGTTTACGTTCAGATAGCTGACCTACCGACACAAGAAGTATACAATTACAAAAGAATGACAGTATAATAGGGAGGTATTGTATCTAAATGTATTCACCTTTGCTCTTTTTCTTATTAACAAGTATAATTCAATTCTTATGCTGTGTGCATAATGCAACGTGGTTTTTATTTACACATAAATACTTCATTATGACAACACAACAGGTTTGCTGGGAACTATGACTAAAACATTTTAAATCCAGGCATGATTTGATTAAATGGCAGCATGGCATGGCCTTTAGCGTGAGCTCGTTGCTCCGAGAAAGGAAGGTAGTTATATTTTTATACCCGACGAGGCAGTCTAATCGTGGTCTCCAACCGTGGAGATGTTTTCAGATAACCACGCGCCGCCTTCTACTCCTACGCTCGCAGTCAGCTGTTTGACATTCGCATCACAGTGCCCCCTGCGCTCCCCTCGCTCCCCGCACTTGCGCGTTGCGCCCGCCGCCATTTTTATCGAGCGGACCCCGCGCTGCCGTCGGGGCGGCGGTATCGCCAGCAGGCGCAGGGCGTATGAGTGGGGGGGGTGTCACAGCGGGGAGCACGGCTGAGCACGGCGCAGGCGCCCGCATTTGCTTGCAGCCGCAGTCTCGCGCCAGCCGCCACTACGCGCGCACGTTCGCGCGCCCCCGCTCGCAAAATCAGCTGATCGGCGCGCGCCCCGCGGCGCACATGCCGTGAGGCCGCGCCCGCCGCGATGACGGGCTACGCCCGCGGCGAGGCCGACTTCGCCGCCGCCGACCGCTTCCGGCGGGACGCGCGGCCCGCCTCGCTCGCCCCCAAGGATTACTCGGTGCCTTTACACGTAGACTGCAGTATCGAATACGAGCTTCCCGACTGTGCCAAGCCTCCGCAGGGCGTCAAGATCGAGCCGCTGCTTATGATCCACCCGTCACACTTCCGGAGGCTCGAAAGCCTCCGCCGCGTGCCGTTCGTGAACAATCTGCCGCGAGAGCCGGCGGCTTGTGAGAGGCGGAGGCGACGCTGTTGCAGGCCTCCGCCACCGCCAGAGCCAGAGTTGAGCAAGCTGGCGCCACGAGCTCGCCTCAAGGCACACCCCTACCTGCCGCCGGAGGCGCTCGACTGTGATATCGCGCGCGCGCTCCCGCCCGCTTCGCACTACGAGCGCTTCGATAAGCGCGCGCTGCAGCAGCTGCCGATCTACATGTAGCCGCAGCCGGCCTCTGTGATGTTTCCTCGTAATACTTAGTGTTAAGTGTGGACGGACCGATACCAAATAGTACCTATGTGCGTTAATATTGTTTAAACTTTGAACGTTGTTTTATGTGTTGTTGTGCCGGACGATATCTGGCGCGTTTCGTCGCCCGACGGCGGAGCCGACCCACCAACGGACCTATTTATTCGCCACCAGTAACCGATGCTTCATCATAAATTATTGTACCGTCGCTGATACGTTGCGTATTTCTGTATAAGATGTCATATCGATAATTATATGTTCAAAAATTGTATTATAATGAATATGTACCTATAGAGTAAAAAAATGAAAGTGAGAAAAATATTACGAATAAAACTAGAAATAGTTATGTTTTCGATTAGATGACGAATTATAGAACAGTCCTGAGTGGTAAAACTAGAATCTTTACTCTCATTTTGTGAGCAGTTATGTTTGTTAAAATGATATATAAAGAGTCCTCTGATGAATAGTCTGATTAACAATATTCGGCATGTAAAAGTCTTTATAAAACGCTTACTTAGCATATCATAGTATTATATTGTGTCATAGTCCAATGCCAAAAATATAACTATCTTTTTACAAAAATCCCTAAAGCATCGTTTTATTTACTTACCTCCACGCGTGCGGTCCGGTGTGTCGATCGATGTGCGTAGTGTGCGTGTTGCCACACAGTGTGTGCGTGTGCAAGTGTGCCATGTTCCGTGCCCATCCCGGATACCATGGAAATTGGATTGTGCGTGCAACTCGCTACCACAAAGTAAGTATGGTCAAAGTGGCCAATCCAGTCGCGGAAAGAATCTGTATTAGGGCAGTACTTAAAACGTACAAATAATTGGCAAGAGTAATAAAACTACGTACTAAGAAGGTACTGAACGATTATGAAATTAGCCATTGTCAGAGCAACAAAGCAGAGCTCAATCACAACAACCAGTCGATGTAGACGATGATCCGTGCGTAGAATTCAAAATAACAGACACAATATAACCTGAACGAATACCTTTATTAAAATTGACTACTCATCATCGATCAAAATGAACAAATAATATTAGATAATTAAAATGCACTTACTGATGTCAAGAATAATTGAAACTCAGGATCCACTAACTATAATGATTGTAATTAACTTTTGTCAGTTTCAATAAATGTTATACTAAGCGAAAAGATCATCAAAACGAAGAAAGGTCGTGGATAAAATTTTTTAAGCACAAAGCAATCCTTGTTAACCTAGTTTATCTATTTTTGATGGTGCAAAAACGACGGTCTATTTCATGCTATAGAAATGTAATGGTGAAGAAAGATAATAAAATGGTATAATTTGCCACATTATGAAATTAAAAGATATTATTAAATAAAATAAATTGCAAGATGGCCAAATTGTGTTACTGTACGTTGCTAATGATTGCGGTTTAATAGCACGGGCAGTAAATTTTAATTGTTTGGTAAGGTATCATGAGACTTTATATTAAAATGTAAATCAAGTAGGTACCATCAACTCATATCGCTGAATACAATGGTACTAACAATCCATTCTAAACAAGTTTCCTATAACCTTAAACGACTACTTACGTCGAAAGTTGGAAAATAAATCGTTTCAATATGAAATTTTTAGAACTATTATTACCACATTAATGTAGCATTCAACAAATTGCAGAACAAGATACAAAGTAGCAGCAATTAATAACCAATCATTCAGAATAACGAGTAATCACTCGTACATAATTGAAACGAAATGACCATAGCTATCCGTTGTTGCGCGGCGAACGTAATTAAAATGCGCTTTGCATTATAATTTACCTGATTAAACTATTTTTAATTAATGATTTCTTATATTTACGCGAATACCATACATTTAATGAAATACATTTTACGGATTTTATGGTGTTTAATGTAATCTTTTTTTAATTCCCGACGTTTTGGGTGCTTTACAGCACCCATGGTCGCGCGTAGTTAGCCAAGCGGCTGGCTACCTTCAGTTTTTATTATTAATTTTTAGCCCGATCTACGCAGAACGACATTACAATACCTCGAAGTCTTGCAATGGTATCCTTAAATTTGGGTTTAATCGGAGGATCCCAACCAGATGGTAGCACGCATCCATCTTCTTTATTGAAATTAGGATGACTTCCCGGGGCACCAGTGCTTCAACTCCACTATATGTTCATTTAGCTGATCTTGTTTTACGGGAAGTCTGCAGTCTGTGAACATGTTCAACAACATCCCCGCCATTACATCAAATTATGATAGATCACAAATCCCCGTAAAAGAACTTCGATTCCCACCAAGAATGATACGCTAGGTTATTAATTTAAAAGTATCTTCCTCGGGATTTAAAAAGTTTTAAAATAATTAAAATAATTAAAATCCGTAAAATTAGTTTCGTTTACTATGTTTTAGTTTATAGCGAAAACTGTGATCATTCTGAGATTTATTTTAACAATGATAACAATTTGGCTGTAAAATTGGAACTGGTTCTTATGACTGAAATAAGATCTTAATGGCGATGCCAATTTATTTAAATTACGCAGCAAATATTTGAACTGTCACTGTTTTAAAAAACAATTGAAAATCATCTTGACAGTAACATTCAAGCTTGAATAGTTTGAATGTTATCGGTTCTAATGTATATATTTTAAAATCGGTACAAACAAGTTTAACTATAAATAAAGTAGTTTCTGTATATTAGTAAGTGTATTAATGTGTAAATAGTTTATGGTTTAGTTTAACTGATTAAATAAAGTTGAAAACATGTTTTCATCTTGCCATTTAAATGTGTTTGAAATGACTCTTCGTATTTTAAACCGTATGTTCCTGCTTTTATTTTATTCCTCCTGTAGATCCTCGAATTCGTTAACACTAATGAACATTTGAAGTGACGTATTTGTGTGATAATATGAATCACGAGAGAAATAACGTGTGACTCGTCGTAACTAGAAAACCTATTTAAATATGCGATAGAAACAATTTCAATACAGCATTGTCTGAGTAAGAATTATAATTGTGCAAGATCATTCTCATAACACTGACTCAACTGTCGTCTGGGCCACTGTAGCAACATATAACAAAACAATAAACGCTATGTGCACTACTCACATAACGATTGGCAATTACGAGATTAACTACTTTATAAAGATTGCTACGTTTTATATCTCCCCCTAAAATACGCACTAAACAAAAGAATACATTCAATTAAATTTTCTATTCAAAAGCGGCACGCAATGAGTCGTGAATACCGCACAATAACTTGACGGGAAAGGCATTATTCGTTGTGAATAGAGCTATTCAGGGAAATAAGACTTCAAACGAGGCCGTTATAACTCGGGTTGTTATAATTCGTTACTTACAAGTGAGTGTGGTTCTGTAGCGAGACTAATTAAGATAGTCGACTTCTCAACGCTTGATATCTAGTAGCTAGCAGGATGGTCCGTCGTTCAGTGAAATATGGATAAATAAATACGGGTTGATATTGGGTACTGAAAATTCACTGATTGGCTATCCTTATGAAATGGCAAGGTGCAGAACTGAGAGTATCCTGTCATATAAATTGATAAATATACATGTAAAGTAGCTTGTACAATATCATTTTATACGTGGTATGTCAGAGCTACGCTGCAGTCATATTGTGCTTATAGAACGATTGGGTCGGCTCAATCGAGGTAGGACCACGCTCTTACTGAATACAAACGTAAAATAGCAGCTTAATGGTGCTGCTAGTGAGTGTAGAGAACCGGAGACCATTTTACTGAAAACGAGGCATTCTATCTTAGTCCTCTGGGGTAACAACGCATCTGAATTTGAATTATTAATTGAGGATAAATGTAGATGTCCATGAGCCACAGCATTCACTTACCATTAGGTAGACTGTTTTCTCTTTGTCACCTAAATCTATAAAATAAAACCAATTGTATCATCCTGATTTTAAAATACGCAAATAAAAAGCGCCTTGCATCGCGTACAAACATTCAACTGCGCTTGGACAAATGCTAATTGCACAAACATATGGAGTAGTTATGCAATGCCTCTAGATTATCTGATCACGATTTGGCTTTTCATATCAGGTATATAATGGTTACACGCAGCGCTTTTAGCTAGAAACGTGGCCGTGGAGCGCGGTAAATCGGCCATTACGTTCACACTCCGCGCTTCGTGCGACTGCACTCCATTATCCGACTTCAGAGCAAGCGAAGGCGTTAAATTAGCATCCGCGTAATAAACACGAAATAAACATCGAGACTAATGGATGATTGCCCGCTCTCAGTCGCCCTCCACTCGCGCCCCTCTAGATTTGAGACTCGACGCCGGAGAAACGAAATTATTCTTCAAGACCGAATTAAAGCTGTATTTATTTTATGTTCTCCGCAATAAAAAGTTTATTGTTACTTTTTACGGCTTTGATATTGTGTGTACGCAGATTACGGCGAAATGGGGTCCTACGTGACTGGTAGGCTGTGAAGGACTTTATGAAAGTATGTATGGCGATCGTCATGTCTGACGTTGAATTACAAGATGTAATTTCGTTGGAGATTCTACATTAAGTTACTTTTTTAATATTCCATTATATCTGCTACTAGCTAGCAAATAAAAACCCATAAAGAAGCGAATTAATAACACTAAACGTGTAATTTATTTTAAAACATAAGTGTTTTAAGGCCTAATGGATGCATTAGTATAGTATTTAGAGGCAATTTATACTATCGTGATATAAAACGTTGAGGAAAATAAATTGTGGCACTAAAGTCGGCAATATGCTGCGATAATTACTAGCATATGCGAGGAATAACGAGCCCGAGATAAGTTAACGTACTTGAGGTTATGTGTTTTGTATGAGTAATGGTCGCGAAAATGTTCCGGCCTCTGTCGTGGTCTGATAGGCTCGCACGACGTTCAAAATAACAACCCAGTTAGGCCATTACACCTAACTACACTTTTTATATTCTTCACTTAAATACATTACATTGAAATATGTCTATCTCCGTTTA